CTATACTACTTACTACTTATTATTATATACACTATATATATATATATATATATATATATATATATATACAAACATATATATATATATCTACTATATATATCGTAGAGATGATATTATATATATATATATATATATAAATATATATATCCATTTTATTCGGCTCGCGCAAAACGTGGTAGTTATCCTTTTGAATCTATAGACGCAAGAAGTAAAGTGTCGCTTTAAGAAACACGACCGCTTTAAAAAAATCGGAATGTAAAACTAGATTATCAAGCAGCGCGTCTGTGACAGAGAGTCACTGTAGAGATCGTATTTAGTTGTCACACACAGCGCGTGGCGTGTCAACGATGCCTATCATCTGCTATATCATGTCGTACTCAATTAGTGTCACGATTTTGATGATGTGCATTGACGTTACGTCCGAAAGCTTCTGACAAGCTACGAAACAGAGTTAATATATATATATATATATATATACGATCGTAACGTGTGATACCGTCGATATTTGTTATATATATATATATATATAACAAACATCGACGCTATCACACGTTACGATCTTTGCTTTTTTCTTCTCTATCTGATCTAACTTGACAGGCGGCATCACAATATATCGCGTGTAAAGTCCGCCTGTTGCACTAAACTGCACGCGCGCATAAACCGGCGCGGCTACCGTGCAACCGTCACCTGCATGCTGACCCCGACCATAATCTCCTCTGCCGACAACGAGGCAGCCACCAACGAATTTCTCTACCGATCGGGCAAGCGTGCCGCGGCTTAAAAGCCATAAATATATCGTTTTACGGGATCGAGGCAGCGCTCGCATTGTGCCATCAATCGCGCTCGCTGTCCGTAACCACTGCCGATGCTTTTCACTGATATCGAGCTCGGCTTTGTGCGACAGCTCTCTATCCCTCGTCCTGCGCTGCGAGAGGAACCGATATACATGCGAAAGGCCTTCGGATCGAGCGGGCGGCCCATTTCTCTTCTCCCGATAAACCCTGACACACTGGCGTTCAGACGGGAACCGCCTGCGAAGCACGTTTCCTGACTTTTGTTGTGATTACAGCGACGAATGTCGTTCCACGGCGGTGCGCTCCTCTTGTGGGGGGACGGCATGCATCAGCGGCGGCCTCCGGCGGTCAGTTACTGTCCCGATCGACCCCCCCCCTCCCGCCGCCCAGCTCTAATCCGTTATTCCTTCTTACTCGCGGGTGTCATCGATGCGATTTTCGCGCCGCGTGTCGCTATGTCGCTAACGATCATTCGCCTTAAGGGGTTCTCTCTCTCTCTCTCTCGTCTCTCTTCTCTCTCTCCTTTCTCTCTCTCTCCTCTCGCGCGCGCGCTCTAGCGCATCGCCTTTCAGTCTCCTGATCTATCTATCTATCTATGTATCGTATGTATCTATCTATCTATCTATCTGATCTATCTACTATCTATCTATCTATCGTATCTATCTACTATCTTATCTATCTATCTATCTATCTATCTATCTATCTATCTATCTAATCTATCTATCTATCTATTCTATCTATCTATCTATCTATCTATCTATCTATACTATCTAATCTATCTATTTATATATCTATCTATCTATCTCGGTCTATCTTAAATCTTAAATCTATTACTATCTATCTTGGTATCTATGTATCTATCTATGTATCTATGTAATGTATGTATGTATGCTATCTATATCTATCTTATCCTCTCTATCTATCTATCTATACATATCTATCTATCATCACTCTCTATCTATCTATCTATCTATCTTATCTATCTATCTATCATTCTATCATCTATCTATCTATCTCATCTATCTATCATCTATCTATTTATCTCATCTATCTATCTATCCGTCTATCTATCTATCTATCTATCTATTATCTATCTTATCTATCTATCTACTATCTATCTATCTACTCTATCTATCTATCTACTCTATCTTATCTATCTATCTATCTATCTATTCTATCTCATTATCTATTTTTATCTATCTATCTATCTATCTATCTATCTATCTATGGTACTATCTCATGTATCTATCTATCTATCTATCTATCAATCTATCTATCTATTCTATCCATCTATCTATGTACTATCTATCTTTATTATCTATCTATCATTAGCTAATCTATCTTCTATCTATCTGTCTATCTATACTCCATCTTTATCTATCTATACATTATACTTATCATTATCTATTATCTATCTATCTATCTATCTATTCTATCTATCTATCTACCTATCTAATACTATCTTACTCCATTATCTAGTTACTATCCATCTATGTATCACTATCTATCTATCCTATCTATCTATCTATCTAACTATCTATCATACTATCTCTCTATCTCTCTCTCTTTCTCTTTCTTCTTCGGCGCCTCTCACGTATCGGACTCTTACGATATATATATAATATAGTATATATACTAAAGAGACAGATGCGCCTGAGATTCGTAAAGATGAAAAGCGCTTGTGGTACAAACTTATATGTCGGATTATCGTTGTCTGTATCAACAACTGAATTATCGTTAACCTAAGAACTTTCTACTATATATTATATTAATCTATATATATATATATATATATATAGCAGGTAAAACGTTATCAATTTAGAGTGCTTAGCTAAGTTTATTTCGATTCTTGTCTTGCTCTATAGTAAATTGCTATGCTACTAGTACTAGTGTAATGCTTTGCTAATGCCATGCCATGCTAATTTGTTTCTGAAAAAACTCGTTTTCGTACATCTCTTGATCTCTTGATAGCACATGTGTGCAGAGATGCTGTTTATCATTCAAAATTTCTCCCATTTCACGGATAGATAAACGTGTTATAGCAATGAAAAACACGTGCAAAAATGCTCAACTAAGACGCTCCTATAGAATTAAAAAATAACCGCGTACCCTGAAGCGCGAGGAAGATATGATCAACTACAGGAATTCCCAAAATTAGTACTCAATATAGGGCAAAGAATATGTGTGCAACGAACTCACGAGCCTAACAATTTGGATGACTTCATATTTTTTAAATGCAAACGTAAAATGTTAAATAAAGAATATGTTGCGCAGGAGCAAAATATATTAAAATCAGAAGGGCATAAGAGTTACTTATACACCCTCCTAGTAAAATGGGTGTATAATAATAGCTGGAGTTAGCCTAAGTAAAAACATCTTACTTTAGCCCAACAGAATCTTCCAAACTCCATTCCATTACCAGTGAAAATCGTTACCAAATCTCGCATGCGATCTAAGAAATAACGAGTTGACTAAAACACATCAACATAACATGACAGACGTACATATCTGTGCATCACGCTTTCCCGATGCTGCAAACAGTCTAGATGGACTTACCTGCACACACGAACAGCGCGAATACTACCAACGTCTTCATAGTCAACTGTGTTCTCTGAGTTGTTGCCGCCTCACTCACTTGCTACTTGCTACTATCGTATGTGTTCTCGACGCACAAACAAACAAGTACAACTCTTCGCTGGCTCTGCTGACCGTCTGCTGCTCATCCCGTATTTATACCCCCGTCGCGCGTGACGTAACGGATGCGTAATAACGCTGCGATGCTCTATTGTTCTCCTCGACCTACATACGCCTCTCGCGCTCTGTCACTGGCGCGCGGTCGCCTTGTCGCAATGGCGCGAGACATGCGCATAACTGTCAGCACTTTTTTGATGAAACGTGAAATGTGTGCGCCGTCCACGTGGGACTACGCCCCACCCCTGATATCGCGTACAATGCGCGCAACCCCTGGTCGTGGGCCCCTTCCGGCACACGCCTGTGCGTATTACCGTAGATCACTCTTTCAGTGATAAACGCGAATTTTATCGGAGCCGCTATAAATGTCGCCGGTGGAGACATATCAATGACACTGGATCTCGATCACGGTCAACTGTTTAATATATTGAGAAACATACACGTGTAAAATGTAAACAACTCGCCCATCCCGCCATTGCCCTATATATATATATATATATATATATATATCCTTGTATTGTCTATTTACTATCAGTTTCACGAATGCTAATTACTGCTACGGTGCGACCCTGGTGCACCATCCATATACATGAAGTTGACCGAACACGCAAGTTCGGCCAATAGCCTAAAGGGGACGACGAATTGACGCATCACACATATAGTATCACATACAGATATTCCCTCACCACTAGATTGACCCACTTGATATCATAATTAGGCTAGAGCTCGCCCAACATTTCGTCGGTGGAGCAGATATCACGTAACGATGCGGATGAACGTTTTTAATCGCCATTAATTGCCACGTAATTTCGATAGAATAACACAATTACGTGGAAATACAGACGTATAGTACCAATGCCGACGTATGGACGTGTCTTAGACACCGCCATATTTGTATACTCGCAATTTCGCACCGATTCTATCAACGGTATATTACAACAATTGCCGATCGCTGCTAGTAAAGTGAAAGGATCACGCAGAGACTACAATAGCACGCGCCGTAGAACGCGTTCGAGCGCGGACAACGTTCAGTTTGTAACGCGTTCGATTTTGCGATAATCGGCTATGTTACGCAGCATTTGCAACATTCAATGTCACGAGCACGAGCATTTACATAATTACATATTCTCGAATGCGTACTTGAAACAACTACTGAGTACGCGCGTGCGAATCTCTCCGGGTTTTTTTTACTGCGCACCACCGTGTTATATTGTACTTTTCACATTTGCGCAGCGCCTCCACTACGGTTCCGCGCGAGCGGTGAGAGGTAAGTCCCACCGACTGCACGCAGTTCGACATCATCACGACACTTAAAAACAGCAACGTTGCAATTAGTTTACATGACCTGTTATTTGCGAATAAATTTCCCATGCCGTTTAGGTGATGTACGCGGGTAGAATGTTCCTGGTTTTCTCCTCTCAGTTATTATACGTGTGAATTTGTAATATGGATTAGTGCAAGACGGGCATTTAAGGGCAATTTTCCGCTAGCGAAAAAACGCACACGTGTTCAAGCTTCGTGTGATACTTGGTTTGCGTGTTGAAACATTTTCATGCGTCGCTGTTTGATGGCGAATGACATCGATTGCATAGGAAGTGCTTTGGAACTGGATTTGACGACGATATTAGCTGGGGAAGTGTCATTGCTACCTTGATAGTGATACTCATCAGCGTGTTATCATCCAGTCATTCGTTTTAGATAGCGCGAACAAAGGCCTAGTTTTTTTCTGTGTGCATGCAGCGAATTGGAACAGTCGAACACAAACCGTCATTCCACTATCGTAAAAAAATTACGATGGAAAAGTCGTGGATTCAGACTCTCTAAACTATGGTCATTGTATTCTCGTTCCTTCTCGGCTACTTATATCTCATCATAATGTTGCCGGACACACTTAGCACTGTCCATACCAATTTGAAGGTATACCAATACTCAATACTAATTTAAGCGAAGAAGTCTATAGATTAAACGACAACTACAAGTAATAGCAGTAGTAGTTCAACCCATGAAATCCATTCGGCGCGTGTCAATGTAATGAAGTAATAATATAGCGTGATAATGAGATAGTGACAGCACACACACGCTGAGACATAATCAAAATATGATTTAAACTATTATTATTATTATTATTATTATTATTATTATTATTATTATTTATTATTTTTTCATTATTATTATTATTATTATTATTATTCATATGCATTTACTGTTACATGTGAACTTTTTTTTACCATGTCAACCTGCTGCACCAATATAAGCGAGGTGTAGTGGCTACCTGTGTGTATGTGTTGTAATTTGAAATGAATCAATTCAGTGTTTGGCTCGCTTTAATGACGTGAGTTATTTTATTTAATGTCGCCCGCGCGCATGGAGCTGGCTCGCGGCGTGACCGCCCCAGCTCTCCCCGCGCGGCCTGGTTGGTCGTGGGCGCGGCCCGGCGGGGGCCTAGCCCTCCGCGCGTACGCGGCTTTGCAGACCATCCCAAACCGTTGTGCTGGCTCCTTTGTCGCTCCCTCACGTCTCCAAACCAAGTCCTTATGACCCCGGATGCGCACTCTTCTCACCCACGATCTCACGCACCCCTATCAGACCGGGGCTGCACCCTCTCCGGGTCTCTCGGCCGCGCTGGGATCCCCCCCCGTAAACCGCGCTGCCGTCTTTGGGTCCCTCTGCAGAAGCGGCGCGTCTCGCGCCTGCGCTGCCGGACCGGTCGGGCGGTGCTATGCAAACCGGTTTGGCTCACCTGAATCCACCCCTGTCCATGTGCTGCATGACCGCCCCGCCGCGTAAATGTGTATTTAGTATAAAATTATGTGTCATATGTAAATAACATTTTCTCTTACTTATAGAAGTTTTGACGATGCACGTAGAGCCAGAATGCGGAGAGTGGAAATTTATATCGCGGTTCAAAATCCACCATTTTCTCAATAATCGGTTTATTAAGATAGACTGTTCACGTAAACGTGCATTTTGAAAATTCATTACAGTAGTCATAGATAAAATAATCACCATCAAAAAGCGAGCAAAACACTCAATTGACAATGTTTACATCTACATATACACGTGACATAGCTGGCAACATACAATCGGTTATATGAGTAACAGGTGAAAAGGTAACAACGTTACGAGAAGTATTGTAAATGAAAACGGTGTAAACCGGTACACACAATATACTATCTATGTGTGTTATGGCGTTGATCTATATACAACCGTGCATGGCGCAGCGAAAAAAATGCCGTTAGGCGAAAAATCCCAGAGTCATTCAGACTCTTAGTTTGCCAACTAACTTGAGCCCACCCTACACCGCGTAACACACACAACATGCACACACGCCACGCACGTACGTACGCACGAACGCACGTACGCCACGAACGCACGCACGCACGCGCGCACGCACGCGCGCACGCACACACACACACACACACACACACACACACACATACACACAACACACACACACACACACACACACACACACCACACACCACACACACACACACACACACACATATTCACATGTGCATGCATTAATTGTATAAACGTTACTGAGACGCAATATTAAACTGGTCATGGAACTATAGGCTCCGTGACTGTGTCATTTAACACGTTTTCAACCGTTGTCGGCAACGATAAACAGACACGGAATAGTTATTTATTTCAAATAACGAAGGTTGGCCTCTTTGTTGCGACTAGATAGTCCTAAAATATTTTAACGTCTCCAAGGACACATGATGACGAGCCGCGGAGATCTGGCAAGTCTATATTTCACACGTTGACTCATCATGATGTTTTCTCAGTAAGCGCAGTACATCGAAGGAATCGCAGGCGATATCTCTCTCGGTGTCTTATTTCACGAGGAGGAGGTGAGAGTATATCGTGTTCCCCCGTGGACTAGAGCAAAATTAGAGGCACTTTACGTTAGTCTGATGCAGGAAAACTAGACAGAGGGCATGAGCGAGACTGGAGTGGCTCAGCAGGTAAAGTCAGATAATATTACCGACCAGTTGTATAGCCAATTATGAATTTTTATCCCCTGGCATACACGAGCAGACTAATACTCGCTCAATACATTAGGTCCCATGCTTTCAAAGGATGACATTTATCTTCTCTCAGTTAACAACATCTCTGTTATCAAGTTAAAATTCCAAGGCGAGCTCACAATTCCTTTGCTATTTAGCCATAGGTACCGTTTGACAGCCGTGTTAAACTTCAACTTATAACACGATACCGCGTCTATGGTCTAAAACCCACGAATGCTATTATATATATATAAGTTAATGCATTATATACGCGCTATTCTGGCCTGGTTCAAGAGTGTTTAGGCTGAGGATCGGACATCATTGGCGGGATTTGTCCAAATGACAATGTGGCCGCGACATGTTACGCGCTCTCTGTATATTACTTTGGATTACACTCGATATGCCGACAATTAAAATAACTGTCACGGCTCTCGCTTAATATGCAAGCCTTGCCACAAAGCGGACGGTTCAACAACACTTCACTTAATCACTCTATCCTAAGATATCAGCTATAGATACCCACCCAATCAGCTATAGATTAGATAATAGTTTTTGCCTAAATAGAACGCAGCGCGAAAGTTATAAATCCGACTAAAATGCCGGCGTCGTAGTTTCTGCCCCTTTCGGGTTCATTTTCTCAAGGTTCAGCTCGTAAAATCGCACGCATGACTGGAGGTGTGTGCGGCAAAGTCACGCGCTAGCAAGCGTAACCATTGCAATTATAATGTCGCGAACTTGCGGGGTCCAAATTGTAACAGATCCGCAGCAAACACACGGTGGCGCAACAATAGAACATCGGATTCCATCAATACCGTGTCTGATCTAGCGGCATCAATAGCACGAACGACGCATTGGGAAATGTGTTAATATTACAAGGATAAATTACGTGTAAATTATTCATCGTGAAAATAAAAGCGAAAGTGCGCCATGTAAGATTTAATTACACTGCCATCCTGTCGTGTTAACCCAGAACCTTTTATG